GCCCCAGCGCCCGCACCGGCCCTGCCATTTAAAATAAGGGAAAAATGGGAAAAATCACCCGGGCAGGGACGCCGCCTCTCATTGGCTTCTCCTCCTTTAAATCCTCCTCCCGCTCTACTCGGCCCTAGCGAGGCACATCTGGAGCGCTGTGTCCAGGTCTGGGCTCCTCARCACAAAAAGCACGAGGAGCTACTGGAGAGTGTCCAGAGGGGAGCACAAAGATGATGAAGGATCCGGAACATCTCTCTTACGGGGAGAGACTGCGGGAACCGGGCCCGTTTAGTCCGGAGAGACTRAGAGGGATCTCATTAAGGCACATAAATATCTCAAAGGCGGGTGCCAAGGGGATGGATGGTGCCAGACTCTTTTCAGTGGTGCCCAGTAACAGGATGAGGAGASAGTGCCACAAACTAAAACACAAGAAGTTCCACCTTAAGATGAGGAAGAACTTTACAAAGAGGGTACCAGAGCACTGGAACAGCTGCCCGGGGAGGTTGAGGAATCTCCCTCTCTCTAGAGACATTCCAAACCCACCTGGGTGYATTCCTTTGTCACCTGTTTCAGGTGACCCTCCCTGGGGAGGAGGGATGGACTGGAAGCCTCCAGTGCCCCTTACAACAACTCTTAACAATTCTGTGATTCGGAGAAATGTGGCAAAGCATGCTCAAAGAATGGAGCTGCCATCRAAAAGCTTAATGCCATTGCCATGGTGTGTCCCACTCAGCCCTGTGACAGCACTGAGGTGCCAGAACGCATTGAGCTCGCAAGGACTGGTGAGTGCTAAAGTGAAGGAAACWGTGAAAAACACTGGGGAGAGGCCTGGGTGATGCTTCTCTGATTTTATCCTGTCAGGCAGCATCAAATCACGTACAACCACAGAAAAGTATTAATTATATCAAAGCCTTTTAGGAAACGCCCCCATTCCAAAAGAAAGCTTCCAGAATGAAGGAGCTGAATGAACCAAAATAGCATTTTCAATTTTTCAAAAATAAAAGTGATGCTAAAACTGAGAACTATTTTGTAAGAGAGGCTGCAAACAGATATCCTGGGTAAAGCTTCCTGCTTTTGGGGAGTTCTTGACACCCAAACTACTGCACAATACACAAGAGCACACCTGGCATCACCTCTGGTWGGCTGTCAAAGAGCTCACACCTGGCTGGGGCTGGCAAACAGCACCCCAGGACTCGCAGGAGTTTCCTGGTCCTGATGAAGACAGGCCTGGGGACATGAGGCTCATGCTGGGCTCTGGCTTGTCCTACAGCAACAGGCTAAAAGCCAGGGCTGCTGCAGGGCTGGGCATTGTGCTCATGCCCTTCACAGGAGTTAGCATTTGCTTTCAGTGCATGTGCTGAGCTGTGGCTAAGTCTTCCTATGTATTTAGGCAACAGTTTTATAGAATGCTAGAATTATTTAGACTGGAAAGGACCTCCAAGATCATCAAATCCAACTGATAACCCAGCACTGCTCAGTCCCCCACTAAAACCTGTCCCTTATTGCCACAGCTGCACATCTTTTAAATACCTTCAGGGATGGTGACTCCACCACTGCCCTGGACAACCTGTTACAATCCTCAGCCACCCCTTGATGAAGGAATTTTCTCATATCCAACCTCAATCTCTGGCACATCCTGAGGCCATTTTGTTTTGTTCTAKTACTGTTTCTTGGGAGAAGAGGCCAATCCATCTCACTACACCTCCTTTCAGGTAGTTCTAGGTGCAATAAGCTCTCCCCTGAGCCTCCTTTTCTCCAGGCTAAATACCCCCAGCTACCTCAGCCCCTCACTTATGACTGGCTCTCCAGCCCCTTCCCCAGCTCTGTTTCCTTTCACTGGATATACTGCAGCACCTCAATGATTATTGCCAAGCAGGTTTCCGATTGTCACCTAATCCTAATTGTCAAGTGGGTTTCTAACACATTTCCAGTTAGTCATTAGCCCTGCCAAGGGATTTCCTGCAGCCTTTTCAAAGCCAAAGAAAACTCTAGAATTAGTCAAGAGAAACACTTCTGTAACTATAGCTGTTATAGCATGTCCTGGGGGGCTGTGCAGGAATAGGGCATGGATAAGTACAGAAAAATAGGAACAACATCCCTCTGGTCTCCAGTGACTGGGAAAATCTCCCCAGCCTGGAAAGTTGGGAGATAGGGAGCAGGCAGCCTGTTTGCTGTACAAAAGGGCTGCTGCCACAGCTGTTGTGACCACCCAACAACAGCACACAATATTGTGCTCATTACTCACACACAGCCCACCTGGGAATTCAGAACCCCACATATTTTACTAATTACTGCCTTTGGGGCCCAGAGGAAGCACTGTGCTGATGATGCATGCAGGGTTTGTACACACTTGAGTTGGCTGTTCATTCCATCCAGCCCTAATGGAACCATGCTCCCCCTTAGAGACCAAAGGGACACKTTCTGGGGCTGGGGTGCTACAGCAGCAGTTCCCAGGGCAGGCAGCCTCAGGTGCACATCAGCTCCAGCTCCTCACACGTGTGATTTTTGAGTGATGAGGATTCAGCCCCTTGGGCACTAAGCACATGCTGTGAATGATGCAGGGGCAGSCCCCAGGAGCTCGACCCAAAGCCTGTTAAAGCTGGTGACACTTTGCCCTTTGATTTCAAGGAGCTTTGACCTAGGACCTGCTGACCTGGGCAGATTTTGTGCAGATGTTTTATTACTGTTTTAGCTCACCTGTAGGTGGCTGGAGGAGAAAAATCAAATAAACTCCTAGCCCCRAGAATTAAAACAAGATGAAGTATTGGAAAGGCATGGTTACCTTGCATTAACACAGCAGTAACATTAAAATTGTGATTTTGAAACTATATACAGTCTTTAAACAAGAATTTAATAACTAAATTATGAATAACTTTTGTAGAGATTTATAACTACTGTGCTCTTTATTATTCTAGCCTGGTTTCTAATGTGAGGCACTACTTTTAACTTCAGCCTTTAAATGAATGCAGCTCCCACTGAGCAGCTTGGAGCCGTGGGGCAGACATTCCACAGGCTGCAAGTGCAGCTGGTGCCTGACTGGATCACTTCAGTGCATCCCAACAGAAAATACCCTGCTCCTGGTGCACTGCTCATCTCCTGTGTGACCACCTGACAACACCCTGAACAACAGCACCTCAGTGCCATGGTGGGGACAGGGACTAAGGAGAGAGAGATACATGTGATGAGAATCTCCAGCCCRGATTTATTTCTGGGTGCCAAAAGGGATTTAATATTTTATTAGCTGTGGAGTTTGCAAGACAGCTGATTATGCTGGRCTGAGGCAAAGCAGTCAGTCTCTTTAAATGCAGAGCATCCACTTGAAATGACTACCGCCAGGCACAGGCCAGGCAGCAGATGAAATATTTAGCTTGTGAAGCATTTCAGTGTGCGAGGCTGGGGCCAGATGTGGGTGCATGATGTTGAAAACCACAAGACCCAAATCTGAGGTGCCCCAGCCGCAGCCCAGAGGCACAGCAGCTGCCCAGAGAGTGGGGCTAAGGGGCTTCAAGGTCTCCYACCCACTGCCAGCATGCCAGAACCTTTGCTGGGCATTGACTTGTTTGGGAGGACACAGGCATCAAAACATTTTCTGTGACTCAGCTGGACAGATAATGCTCCCTCTTGCACCCCTCTCCTGAATTTCAGTGGCTGAAAGCATTTTCCTGTAGAGGTAAGGAAGGCACTCTCCTTCCAGAAGAAATAGTTTTGAAGCAAGTTTGACTTTTTGTTGTCATAAGATCTGGTTTTTATTTTATTAGCTATTTRTATTAGTTATTTGCTTACTAGAGTTTGCTATAACATGGTCCAAACACTTTAAATTCTTGGCATGCCCTGCTCTGTGTACACATGTTCACCCCAGAGGGATGTGGAGGCAGCATCAATACATCTGCAACAAGGAAAACTGGTGCAAAGTGAGCCACAGAAATCAGGGAATGGTGTTGGCATTGCTGGAATGGKACCCAGACTGGATTACAGCTATGCTGAAGCTTCAGAGGAACTTAGGTAAGAAGCTGCTAACCTACCTCTTTTGAGTTAGAATTTGTCACTTAACAACTGCTGCACCAGACAGCAAGGTTTTAATGAGTTTGTCCAAGGGTAACAGAACAAATGAAATCAGATTTCTCCCTCCCTCAGATACAATTTCACTGTTCCCGTCCTTCTTACTTCCATCTGTCACCCTTCCCAGCTCCTCCATGTCTGCAAACCCCTCTCCAAGCCTTCCATTCCTCTYCTCTGTCCTACAGACCCACAATATCCTACTCTCCTTTCTGTGCTCCTCATATCCTCTTCTGCCTGGCAATTCCTCAGCTCCCTCCCATTTCATCCGYGCCCAACTCACAGATCCACAGCTTTCTTCCACATCTTCAGCCCTGTCCTGTGTGGTTGGCCAGGTGGGCAGCAGTAGGACGTGCTCTGGCTTTGCCAAGGTGCTGCCTGGATGATGAGTCCAGCAGTCCTGCACACCACAAACCCTGGGTCAGATTCTGCCTGCCTTTCTGATAGAAAGCACAGAAAACACAATCATTTTTCTCAAAGCAGTGCTTAAGTTAACTTAAGAACCCAATGCCAAGGGAGGTGGCATTTAAAAAAGGGCTACAAAACTCCATTGATTTGTCCAAAGCCAGCTCCCATCTCAACCTCAGTCAAAGCCCCTTAGCTGAAACACTTGCTCTGTTTCTCAGCTAATTTTTTTTAAATATACACACATACACTGTATTAGGGAGGGCTTTATTGAGGCACATATTTCTAGTTCAGCTGAAGAGTTAAAGGGAAGCCACAACAAGCACTCTGCCCCAGGAGC